ACTTTTGATGAAACATAAATAAAGACTTTTACGAGAATACACCTGTTTATTCAAGAACTTTCATGGTCGGACATCTTGTGTGTGTGTGTGTGTTTGGAGTGGGGTTTGACCTGGTCACATGATCCATGGTTGCCATATCTATATGATGCTTTCTGACATTACAACACCCGCCCCCCTCCACCTTGCAAGATCTTTCGGCTGCAATTGTTGTCAAAAGTGCGCCCAAGACGAAAAATGCTGAGAGATGTAATTCAGTATGAACAAATACAAAAGTTTAATATGTATTGTGTGTATTACAGTAAATTAATGTCAGACCTTGCACGTGTGCTCAATGCTATTTTTGAGTGGTATTACATAAGAATTGATGCATGTTTTGCCTGTAGCAAAAATTTGCATTTCGCTCATTGAAAAAAAAAACTCTAATTTTTCCTTGTGAACTTCGGGGGCTGTAGTTCGGAAGTGGTCATTCACAGAAAAATTTTAATAAAAGGGAAGAGGTGTCATATTTCCGTCTGTGGAATATGATTATAAAGAATCTGAGTGAGAAAAAAAAAAAACAAAATAAAATTTGAAGGACAAAAGAACTGTTTAGGGGCTTCAGGAGCTTTTTTATTTAATGTGCAATTGGAACCTTTTGGTCATGCCAAGACTTACTAAGATCTGAAATTGCGCAACTAAATCAAGTCATAGTAATGAAAATTGCATTTGATTTTCCTTTTTCCTCGAATCCACTTTCTTTCATTTGGCAACACAATTATCCTGAGAAATGATGATCAAGCTCTTACCCGAAGAGACGTTGCCCCAGGTTACCCCTCTTCTCCTGACTGCTTACTTTATGGTAAGTACAATAATGAAAATGCAATATGAGAAGCGCATTCCCTCTTAACTTCCTATCGGTCTACTTTTAACAGACTACCAGACTTGAACAGCCTTTTCAATGTATAGTAAAAGTATACAAAAATTTAGGGAAGAAACCAATTAACAAAATTAGGAAAATCATTGTGTATTAATTCTCCTGGTAATGATTGATCGTCAACCTGACAAAAAAAACATGTCTTCATGCGATATCTTGAAGTTTTAGCAAACGTTTTATCTTATCACAGAAAAACTGTAGCACTGATTTATCCAAAACTTCTATAGGACACTAAAATGATATAGGCCATCAACCATAATCTGGCTGTAGCAACCCCACCTCCCGCTGCCGCCATAATTAGCTAGAAACTTATGTAATTAAAATTATCGCACTTCTTTTTCCACACATTGCTTCTATTATCCATGGAATAATCTTTTCCCATTGAAGTTAACACAATTTTAATCCTGATTTTTGTTTTTTTTTTTTAAATTTTGATTTTAAGCATTTAATATTGTCCATTAATACTGTATATCTAATATTTCCTATGTGGACCAATTTAACCAGAATCAGGCCAACTGCCTTTCAACTTGCTTAATTTGCTCTCATGTTTTATTTTCACCACAGAAAGGTAGGAAACAAATCGTATTAAAACTTTCCACAACTATCCACTATAACCTCTAAAGAAGATATTCACAAAATGTCAAATCCGAATATTCCTTAGCTTTCTAATAGAAAGATATAACACGATGAGAAGCCATTTTGCAAAGTCTAATACAATTGTCCTGATTCTATGCAAATTCCTCCATTTAATTGTACGATTTTAAGAAAGAAGATTATAACTGTTTTGTTCTTTCCTCTCAGAGGAACTTTAATAATTCTATCAATGATAGACCATTGTACTTATTACTATTCTTATGTTCTGAAGTGCAACTTGCTCAAACAAAGGATTTGAATTTTTCCAAATATTTTGATTTTGTTTTTATTTTGAACCCATAGCGTGTTGATTTTCACAAAATGTTAACTGGTTTTTTTTTTTTTATTTTTTAACTGTTAGGTACCAAATGTGTTCCAAAATTCCTATGCCATGTTTTCCTTGGTTACTTTAACTCAATTTTAGAAGGTGCTAAATTAGTATTTTAAGAAACGTTCGAAAATTTCCTGCAGCGCAACCTAATACAGCCACCAAAAAATTTTTTTCGATCTCAGGAATTTCCTAGTCCAAATTTTTTTAAAATCGAAAAGTTACTCAAAAGTCAGGTTTTTTTTTACTTTTTGTAATGTCTACATTAATAACATGTTTCACGTATACTTTAAGCTTAAACCTAAAAGCTGTTAATTTAAAAAACATATAATAAACCACAGTGCAAAACCACCAAAGACCAAACCCAATATAAAGACTTCTCTGTGGTGACTTTTTGAAAAATCTAGGGCAGCGAAGCACCCTCATATTCTGTCATTTTATGATGAGGACATCATTAATTTTTGTTTTATACATTACATATTTACATTACATTATTTATTGAATCACGCCGAGCAAATGAAACACATCAAACATACCAAACGCAGCGAACAAACCAAACACACCACGCACATGGAACACGTTCATAACAAATGGAACACACAAAACGCATCAGCGCAGTCTTGCAAAGAAAAAGACAACTGGCGGCTTATCTGACGCAAGTTCTAGAAGATGTGTGACGTTAAATAAACAAAAAGCTGTAAAATTTACTTTTACTTATATATATATGTATTTTTTATTTTTTTGTCTTGGAGGAAAAAATAATGAAAATGCATTTGCATTATGAAGCAGTATAAAAATTAAGGGAAAAACAAGTCGCTATGAAAAGAATTTCAAAAGTGAGCACTTACACATCTATTCATAAATACTTACAAAAAAAACTTGAGAATATATGAGAGATTTCAATGTACAATTCAACATCATATATGATTTCTTCAAACTTATCGAGAAGATTACTGGCGTGTCACTCGATGTATCAGTCAAAGAGAAGTTTCACTCTGGATAAAGAAGGCACTTGGTTCATGAATTAAAACCTTACCAACTTTTTAAAGAATTTAAATTCGAGAAGCAGAGCACCGTTCTGGGAGCAACTTTTTCATTACTTAGAACAAAAATGCATTAAATTGTGCTTTTTTTTTAACATTACGACAAGTATTCAAAATGAAAAAAAAGAAAAAACCAGTCAAATATTACCAGAGGTAAAAACTTAGTTGGAATTGCAAAATGAAATACAATGAGTTTTTGATTCTCTGGGGAGGGAATAACTTTCTCAGTCTTGGAAAATGTACAAAATTTACAGTATCAATACATACTAATGTCTCTTTAACTTAATTCTTGTCATTAATGCACACTTTTTCAAAGCATTCAATTGCATCAAATCTAGCGATAAAAGCATCCAGTCTCCATGAAAGACCCAGCTTATGATCATAAAACATTCAAAAGTCAACATCTAGATCTGTTTTTGTGGATAGGTTCTACCTGTATAGATGACGTTTGTCAGTCATTTTTAGCTCTCACAAGACAGAATATGTAAAAGGACTCCTTAGGTTAGGGGTGTGTCCTATCGGTTTATGGTAAGCTATTGAATCAGTTCAGTCGAAAAGAAGGAGCAATAAGAAGACCCTTACCAAGAGCTATTGGAGTTTTTGAAGCTGACAAAAATAAGCTGTTGCCATGTTCGTCAGGTTTACAGCGGACCCAAATACGGTACGGTTCTCAACAAATAGACTTTTAGGGCCACACTGCTTTTCCGCAGAGTTCACCTATTTCTGATAGTGCCAGCTCTTTTAAACAAAACCAGCTTTATCGGAGTGTGATGGTATTTCGGAATGAACAGTTTCGATGGCTTACTGATAAGAATTTGTTTGAACACTTGCACCTCAGGTAAGTAAGACTTCTATAAATTTACAAACACAAAAGTAAACAAAATATAAAAAGGGTCAAGCAATTACGTATGATTGAATAAACAAGGCAACAGATTTCTATGAAGAGAACAGACCTTTGATTGCACAAGCATCGACTCAGCTCACAGTGAAGTGTGAGTGTAAATAGGTGGAGATAATGTAACAAATTTGATAACAGATAAAATGTGAATAAAAACTATCCAATCCTAACAAAGTGTCTACAGTCTAATAGACTAAATTGAGCTCTTTTATTTCAGATCTTCCAATAACTAGACTTAAAAAGTAAGAGAAGAAGTGACACAGTATTTGATTCAGATTAAAAATTGACTAAGAAGCCACATTCTGACTAGGTACCGCACAATGCAGTTTGTACAACATGCAGTGACAGTTCAATCGGGAAAAGACATGATACGGAAAATAAAGTGATTCAATGCTGGCTGAATTTTTATATTTTTTTATCAGATGTTCGCTGAAAGTCCTTAGAGCTTCATACGCACAAACTTGTCATAAGCCAACCCCAAGAGAATTTGTGCCGTAACGTGATTTTTCAAGCCCTTTTTGGTGGCAATTTTTTATCAATGATCAAGAGAGCTGTCTTTTCTTGTGAGCCAAGGCATAAAATAAAGTTGTGCATTCTGCGTTGCTGGGCAACCTAACTACCAATGTGCCAAATTTCTACCAAAAAAAAAAAAAGAAAAAACTTTGAAAAATAAATAGAAATTCTTCTTTCTGCCCTGCTTGAGAATTTGGGTTTTAGAGTCTACTGTGCTGAGCAGTCATGAAGAACATCATATTAAGAAGTAACAAAATTTAGTGCCTGCAAGTATCTTCGTATTCCATGCTATGTTCTTAGATAAAAGTCGATTGTATACGATAAGAACATCCTTGAAACAGCAGAATTCCAAAGTGGGTAAAAAGACTAGATTCTGGCAATTTCATTTTGTCAATACTGCTCAAAATTCATTCAAACAAATTGGAAATCATGATTTACTTGAACTAAACAAGAAAAAAACACTAAGAAGTGGCCCAAATACTGTATGTAACAAGGTGGAGAAATGGTGCTGGGTCCACACCATTTTACAGGGAAATGGCGAAACATCAGCTTTGATTTCCCTTCGAAATGGTGTGGACCCAGCACCATTTCTCCACCTTGAACTTAACTTTTAAAACTTTTGATAAGATAGATTTGATTCACAGATTTTAAACAAATATGATTTTTCTACAATTGTTTTTTAGTATGTTGTATTTTTGTTTTTCCTTTAAAAAAAAACTGATTTTCGAAAAGTGATTAGTGCTTATCCAGTCATTCTTATTGTTTTTTTGTCGGTGGTAAGTTTGGATCGCAATTAAGAGCCGACAAAACTGAAAGTAAAACCATTGTGAGACAATATTTAATAATTTAACCCATATTTTTCTTGCGGGCCTAATCGCCAAAATCCAAGTTTCAAGAAAAATAGAAAAAGAGTCATTTGGCATGCATACAAGCTTTTGAACCCTATTGTAGGTATTTTTTGGACATATACTGTTTTTGGGATTAAAAGATTGACTGCATGCTGATTGGCACTGTTTTTCTTAACTTGGATTTTGGCACCTGGGCTTCTTAAAAAATTAAGTATATCTATCGGTTTAGGGAAAAAACCTAATTCATTCTCATAAAGAAAAGAATGCTCAAGACTCTATAAATATGTCAAGATAGTGCATGAAAATATGGGGCTTGAAAGGTTTTAGAAAAATAATTTTAAAAAAATACTTGTAATACTAATAATTTTACAATCATAATTGATGCTTGTACTTAAAAAACATTGCTCCTGGAATTGTTGATAAAAAATACAACATTTCAGTATCATAGAAACATTGACACAAAAGAGCAGCTATGTGAGATGTATACAATTGAGCTGAGTTTGCTAAACGATTTTAGACGTAGCAATGTTACTTTCTGAAACAGTTCAAAAACGCTAGATGGCCCCTTCTTTCCTCCTAAAATACGGTTTTGCTTCAAAATTTCAGGAAAATTCCTTGCAAAAGCCAGAAAGGAATATTCCTGGATTTGTAAAGATAAGTTCATCTCCGGATTTTTCGCAAAAAGATTTGAGAAATAAAAGACTCGAAATTTTCATCGTTAGACTACTTAATTTTGAAAGGCCGTGCCATTCAATTACGACGTTCCACATCAACAAAACACTTCAAAGAATTAAAACGGATTGAGAGAGGTCTGAGAAGGAATTAATCTGACTTGCATTTAATTTTATTACTCTGTGTTTGATGAGGAGCATCCAGAAAATAAGTACTGTTATGGAATCTCTTGGAAATCACAAATGCCAGAAGAAATCTAATCAATTAATCAGCTTACTAACGATGGATATTCTCTTTCATGCGTGACTTGACATTCGCTAACTACTTATGTACTTGGCATTTTCCTGCAGAAAGACTCGATAGTGAGGTAACTAGCAAAATCGGAATAATTTGGACTCCTCAGCACATTTCTATTCTAATTCTAAGGTGGTAGGAGCTTAAATTGGACTACATTTCATGATTCGGAACTATAATTCCTGGCTCATCTGAAAAACTCTTGTGTGCATAGGAAAACTAATGGTGCTTACGTTTTTTCTAAACTGAGCCAGAAATTGTAGTCCCTACTTGCAAAATAAAGTCTAACTAAAGCTGAGCATGCACAGAATTGAACGGTTAATTTCGGTTTTTCCTGGCATTAATATTTCAAAGACAAATCAAAATGGTTCTCTCTTTCTGGAAGCTCCTTGATGTAAACTCTGTTGATTCTTTGAGAAAATTTAAGAGCTATTATTTGTCAGTTTCTCCCAAATTTAACACTATATACAATATCACTACTTCCATTCTTTGAGAGGCAGTTTTTTTTTTCTTTCTTTTTTTTAAAAAAAAAGAAAATGAAAAGGAGTCTAACTTAACCATAGGAGAGATAGAAAGGTTTTAACTGACTACAGAAGCGAATTCGATCTTGCAAAACAAAAGACCAAGATCAACTTGTTAAATCAAAGTAGGTACCAAGGAATGATTACCAAAGTAACTAAATTAACAACAACAACAACAAAACAAATAAGAAGGGTCTATTAGAGGAATAGTATTTTACAGGGATTTTGTTCACAAAAAGCGAATTTTTAACAGCAAATTATTTTCGCAACGTCCGGTACAAGAGAGAGAAGAACCCAAGAAGCCGGAAGACGATCATGAGTAAAATAAGGCTCACATAATCCATCAGATAATCATTCTGAAAAAAGGTAAGAATAGGGTAAGTTTAAATTATCACTGTTTTATTGGTAAACATGTATGATGAAACCTCGGCATTAACTCTAGAAAAAACACTTTGTAGTGTAATTAAAATCTGACCTTGACATCAATGATTAATTAATAATAAGATGGTGCGAATTGAGTATACTGAATTCTGAAGCTGATACAAGTTAATAGGATAAGTACATCTGGGATGTATGAAACAAAAAATGAGATATGGAGATCCTATTGTAAAGGCTGAAAATTTAATACAGTTTTCGCTTACATAACTTAATAAGTGTAATAGCTGGAATGCAGAGAGCAATGCTGCCATGCTAAGGAAAAACGCAGTATGAGCCTTCAGATGTTACCATATCTCCTTCAATAAATAACGCATTTACCGAGAACATTGTTATAACATTTCTCTTTATATCTTTCAGACAATTTTGCCCGCAGTTTAATCTAAAATATCTAAAAATTTGGAGGAAAAATAAACATAACTTTCCTAAATAAGAAATACATGTTTTACCCGGAGAAATTTGGCTACTCTCGAATGTTCATACGGCGTTTTTCCTTAGCACGGCAGAATGGCTTTAACTGCTGAAAGAAATTCCATTTCGCAGAGCAAGAACCATCAACACGTTGACTGTCAAACCAAAGCAGGCAAGGAAGCAGTTCCTAGTAGTACAGACTCTTTAACAATTCATAAAAACAGGTCAATTTTATTACGCAACGACTTTTCCTCACTCGAAGTTGCTTGATCCATTTTCCAAGCCTGAGATTAAAAATTTTTGAGGGATGAACTTACCTCACTGAAGTTGTACGTCTCAAGGACAATATGGCCGTTCTTTGGACAAGTCGTGTTAGCTCGAGTACAAGCGATAGTGTCAATATCTGCCCACTGGTTGATCAGTAATGCTTCGTTTCCATACTTGAACCAAGATAAATAACTCAGCCACTTGAAGTATGATGGAACGGATCTAAACACAGTAAAATTAAAGAGAAAGTTAAAAAAATTCAATGTGTTGAATTTAACATAGGAAACTTTTGATGGAAAAATGGATGTTAAGTTGGATTGAGACATTTTTTCCCAAAAACAGTTTTTTTAAAAAAAACACGTTTATTCATTGCATCTGATTGATATTGACATTGACAAACTGACTGATTGTGAGACGCTGGCATCAACTGAAGCACTGGCTGACTCATGTCAGCCAACTGACAAAAAACTGGAGGTGACTGCAAACTCTGGGCTTAAGAATTGGTTGACACTACTTACAGGCCCAAGAAATAAAATATCAAGCACTTTTCAAAGAAGCTTCGATTAAATACTCCTCAGGACCTTTTTCTAACTTTTTACAAAACTGAGAATTTTTTTAAGGTTTTTGTTTTTTCCTTCTCTCTCTTTCTTTTACAAGCTTCCAGACACGGTAAGCTTTAAGCGGTTACAAATTAGGAAAGTGCAAGGACTATGACTCAGATGTACCTATTTTTGGTACTCTTTGAAGGTATTTCCTTCAAAAATTGCAAGCTTTCAAAACGACCTATTTCACATCAAACACTTCCTTATTCCTTATTCATTCACCGCTGACGACTAGTAAAAGGTAAAATTCAAGCACCTTCCAAAAAATCAATTGGCCAATGAGGTATTTTATATAGATTGCAATGCAATACATATGTGAATTTTCATTTGGAAGAAGTAAAAGAACTTTAAAATTAAAGCTCCAAAATGAACATACCCAACATTTAAGAAGAAACCTCCAAACAAGAGGAACGGAATAATGACAGGAGGCCCAATAGATAGAGCTACAGACACGTTTGAGCTAGCACATGAAATGAAGTAACCTGTCAACAATGATAAAAAAGATTAGATTAAAATGCAGAAATTTCAGACAAGAATCGCAAATGGGGTCGACATTGAAAATTCCGTTCTGATTAGAGGTGTGAAGAATTCGATAAGAGAAAGTTGGCAAGATAGCTTTTCCTGAACATAATCAAATGAAACAAATGGAGCAGCGAACCAATAACTCTGACCGCATCACTACAGGTGTTCTGTCATTATTAGAGTGATTGGTGACAGCCCATTTTCCACTGTTGTTTTACCCATTACGAATATTTGTTATTTTACTGTGTATTTTCAAAGAACAGAGCCAGATCATGGTACAATTTCAAGACCTGAGTCCTGACACAAGGAAATTTTGGCGTAATTGGGCCAACAAAGGTACAAAGTTTCTCTGCTTTAAACAAAAAACTTGCTAAAAAGTTAAAGCTTATGTCTAGATTTGAACCAAACTTAATTCTCAACTTGGAATTCTGTTGTGCAGATCTTGGAAACACGATCCACAACAAGAAAAATATATTGCAGAATTCCCAGGATCTTTTTGCACATGATATAACGGAAAATTCCTGCAACTCAGACTTTTCAATGGTAAGAGCTAAATTTAGGCTTTTTGAAAGGTTGAGGGGATACTTTCCAGCCTACTTTTAACTGTATTTTAATAATGATCACCGTTTTTCTGAATTACAGTTGTAATCTTGGTTGTTTTGGAATGGTTCTCTTCAAAGTGAGGAAAAAATTCCAAGGGGGAGGGCTCAGTGCTCCGAGGTAAATTTGAGCTTTTCATAGAATACACCAAAGATTAGCAGCTTAGAGGCTTATTTCAATTTTGTTTATACTTAGCATGTCAAGTTATTTTAGTTTCCAAGTTTTGAGCCCTATATAAGGAAAGTTAAACTTTTGACAGTGATTTTTCAAAACTGTGTACTTTCATTGTGGCAACCATAGTAACATTTTAATTTTGTATTTGTTGGCATCTTGAGGTCCCTTCTCCTGTGGATGGTCACAAATGAAGAAGAAACCACAAAAAATTATGAGGGTTCTACCATATAAAGCAAAAAGGGCGTAACTACATTCCAAAATTGCATTTATTCTCCCCACATACTGTTCTACCACACAAAAACTTGATCATGCATCATATTTTCAACTTGAATTTCCAATGATATGCCATGGTCATTCTAAAAATGTGAGGGATGAGTGTTTGTTGGATGTTTTAAAATGCATTTTGTTGGAAACAAATTGATAAACTTTGGAGTGGAGTTAAGGCGTTTTTGCTGTGCATGGCAGAATTCAGATGAAAAATCATTCTATTTTGCTCTAGAAGCAAATAACTTTGAAAAGATTTTTGGACTTTAATAATTTGATTTGGCTCACCGAATGATGTGGCGACGTTACTGACAAGAGTGATGATGGCACCAGCCGCAAGAAAGTGGGAGAATTTTGGATTTAATCCAACCATGTAATACATGACACAGGTAAAAATACAGGGAATGGCTAAGAATATTGGGACTTCTGCCATAGTTTTACACAGAAAATACACGTCTGTGCGATACATCCCATTGAAATGCTCCCTCATGAATACTGGCAGTTCGGAACAAAATACCTGTGGAAAAAATGAAAAATTTGAAAAAGAGAACTGAACTATTCGATGATTACGGGGGTGCACATTGTTCTCGACCGCGCATTCGCGACCACATTATAAGAGTGCCCTAAAAATTGAAGAGGCTGAGAGGAATTGTTTGTTCGAACGGTTGTCAGTTTTCCAACTCTTGTGGAATAATGAGACTTAAGCACACATCCGAGAATTATCCAAAATTTTAAAAAAAAAACTGATTGGCTAATTGAAAGAATCTTTCAACAAAAACCCAGCGCCCGATAGGACCAACTCTAAAATCTTACTGTAACTAACCTAACTAAGCCGTCCTGTGAGGTTGATCTTTTAAGAATTTTTTCAGAGTTAAAAAAGTAAACTGAATTGATTTTTTAACTTTGAAAACTTAGGTACGAATTGACCAAAAAACAAAGGAGCAGCGAGCACTCAATCAAAATATCTCAATCATGCTGATCAGTTATAGTTGGACTACATTTTGCAAATTTGAACTACAATTTCTGGCTGATCCGTTAAAAGACTTACAGGCATAGGGAGACTAATAGTACATATGTAATTTCTAAACTGAGCAAAAATGTATGGTTCCTAATTGCAAAATACAACCCAATTATGAGGCACACAAGAACCATTAGCGAATATTAGGACATCTTCCTTACAGTGATGCTGTGATTATCGAACCACACGAACTACATTATGCAGTTGTCCGATATGGTCAACATTGAGATGTTGGTCTATAATAAGTTAGCCAACACGATGAAAATCAGTTTTTTGGACAAGAATTGATTATGTATGTGGTTTTTTGTGATTGTTGTTCCAATTAAATGACTATGCTTTGCGAATATGATGGAAAATTGGCCATGCTTGTGCCTTCCTATCACAAGCAGAGCCTAGAATGTCCTTTTTTCGGTCTTATTTTGGTGGTTTTGACTATCCAACTTTTTTGATACTAGACGCAGCACTCCCTAAAAATCGTCGGAACATTAGAAAAATTACCATACTTGGAATGAAAAGTATAGGAATTCAAGGGCTAGACAGTCTTGAAAATAACTCGTAAGACTACATACATGCAAAAAAAAGAAGAAATGATGCTTACACTAATTACAGCAAAAACATTCTGGAAAGTCATGTTGGTGATGCAAATGAATAAAGCACCGTTAATATTCATTACTCCGTCTTGGTCTAGATTTTGGTCAAAATAAATGAGCCCGATCATGATCGCAACCATCTAGAAACAATATTCACAAGTAAATTAGACAAAATTTCAACTAATGAGAATTTGTGAGGTTCTGTGCCATTGGAGAAGGATTTACAGCATCATTAAGAGGAGCATTTTCATGACCGAAGTGCAAAACTACGTACCTCCATTTGCAACGTTGCAGACTTCTTGTCATACTTTAGGTTCTCTTTGGAAAACTGGACAAAGAAACTTCTTGAAAACTTCCTTGATTTATCCTCTATGTTAGCAGAATATTCTGTACACATTTGAAGCTGTAAAGTTGGCTTGTTCCTCTCAGAAAAAATTAAGTAAGAGGGGAAATGTTGAAACACTGCGATAGAGATACGTGGTTTCGCACTTTGGCCATCGATTTTAACTCCATTCAGCAGCTTCAAAAGAGGGCTGAGAAAGTTCGAGGTGCAGCTGAAGTTGATGTCTGATAGAGATTTACAGCGATTTCAAGGAGGGCGCACATCAATAACCAAAAGGATTTGTGAAACGCTGGGAGCGTAAGCTTTCATCATGTGCGGTATCAAGATCAAATAACTGGTTTGGTATGGACACGTGCAGAAAATGCTGAATGAACGACTGCCAGAACAAGAGTACAATTGGGTTCCTCCCCATAGAAGGTATTGTAGACATACAGTAAAAGCAGAGAGTGTGGTTTACCAGATGATCTCTAGGAGGATAACTGGTACAGAGGACGATAGAGCACTAATTTAAGAACTTCAGTGTACGTAGAAGTAAACTAGGTAACAAATGCATGAATTTAGCATTTGAAACACATCATTAAGGTAAGAAAAGCTTCGAAGTTTTCATTTAAATTAGACCTCATCTGCTGGCCCATTGTTGGAAGAGCTTAAGATACATTGGCACATGACATGTTGTAACACAGTCATCCAGATTGGGACAACAGATTCTAAAGGAGACTGCAGACTCATTATGCACACAGTCTACAAATGAGCACTAGTGACTTTTTTATTAAGGGCTCAATTAAATTGAGTATTGAAAGAAAACATTTTTAAACATTAATCTCACAAAAGTGATTTAGCTGATGTTACGCTGGTTAATTGGCAAAGGAAAAAACACTTGATTCTAAATTTTCTCATGGCACCACTCAGCAGTGAAGTCAATGAAAAGACCTAAAATGGGCCAGTTGCGCTGGTAACAGAGTCATGTTTTGATGCTTGATTCTGATAGATTAGTTAAAAAGAAGAAGATTTGTCCAAATAGTAACTTTCTACATTGAATATTAACTGAGATATCGTCTCTTAAAAGTCGGGTTTTTGACGTCATCCACCACGGTAGTGCATAACATGGTATGCACTACAGCGGTGGATGACATCATATCGAGTTTTTAAAGGCGCGATGTCTCGGTTAATATTCAATGTAGAAAATTGCTGTCGGGACAGATCTTATAACTTTTGATCGATCTGCAAGAATAAAGCATCAAAACACGATTCTGTGACCAGCGCAACTGGCCCATTATCATAGCTTCTGGTTAACAATAAGATATTAAGATTTTGAGCGAATGACTTTTTCCAGGATATTTCATTTTTACCACAGCTAAAAGTCGGAATAACTGTTAACCGATAATGTTGGCGGAAAATGCTCTAAAAATAATGGCCATAAACAAGTTGAGGATAAAAGCAAGAAAAATAACATCCATCACAAAACTCAATCTAAAATTTGACAAGAAATGGGCAAAACTTGTTGCGCATATTAAATTTTACTGGAAAATTCTACCTCTGTGACAAGTTCACTTAAGGATAGGGAATTTCCTCTGTGAGCTAGTACTGTGCGAACGAAAAAAGAGTTTCCATCATACTTACGAGAGTCTGTAACAGTCTAACTTTGATCAAAACAGGTTCTTTCTTAATACTAAGCCATGAGCGCCAAAGCACAGCCTCGAACTGCGCCCACCAAGATGCTTTGTACGGTGATCGGTTTGCAACTCCTCCTTGCCATGTCTCACCCCAACTACTAAGCATTGCTTTAGCCTAAAAAAAAAAAAAGGCGAAACAATGATTAATTGTGCGTGACATCAACTTTAATTGTAAGTAAAAAAACAGTATTGATAGATAGTAATGGATTAAAACTAACCAAATCGCCCTGGCCACAAATGAGTAAATATGTAGCGAACTTAAAAGACACAGAATTATATTTTGGTGTCTTCAAAGGCTCAGTTTCAGATAAAGAGATTCAGAAATTGAATATAGGTCATTTTATCAAGCCAATTTACGTGTAGAACTCATTTCAAGTTTCTCAAGTGACAGAGTTATCCATCCATAAAATACATAACACCTCTGGGAGGGCAATGGCATCTCAGATTCCAATGTGGTTTATAATAAGAGGGCAAAGAATCAATCTCAGCATTTCTAATTCATTTGTACACCAAATTTTAACTTTTATTGCCTTTATTTTATTTCAATACTTGAAACTAACCCTGACGATTGGATGTGCCTTAGATGGACAAGTACTCCCTGTCTCATTGCGTCAGAGCCGGTGAAGATTGAGGTTTTTAAAGTGATTCCCTTCAATTTTTCAGCTATTTCATGAAACCAGCGAAGGCTTCAGGCAAAAACCATGCCTTGAGATGGGAGTTAATGTTCTTAAAATGTACGGACCGAGAACTTCTATTGTATTTGTCCCTCTTATTTATTTTACTATTTTCTATAGATTATTAAATTCTTCGTATTTAAATTTCAGTCAGTCTCATCTTTTTTCATCATGACAGAAAATCTTACCTGAAGGTCCCCGCTGAGCTCAGTGACAGCAGTTAACTTTATACCTTGCTCGGATCTTTCAAAAGAATCACAGACCATGTCAACGTGATCTCTACATGCTTCTTCCTGAGTTGGAACGATTGCTAAGAGTTGAATATAGTAATCTGCAGGGTTATAGTTACTTGGACAAGATGCACCTAGCCTGTAACATGAGACGGAGCAAAGATGATTAAAAATGGATATTCTTGGGAAATTAATAAAAAAAAAAAATAGTTCTATCTTCTCCCGCTTCATTTTCAAAGTGATTTCAATCCATCACTGGATGAGCAGACACAGGGATTTCCCCATTTGTCAATAAAAGGAAAATCCTACTCAAAAATTTATTTTCTTGTAACCATGAGGAAAAACTGGAAAATACTGCGGGATGATAACTTTTTCAGCCCCCTTTGTCAACCACCCATTTTGATCTTTCACTCAAAAGCGAGCTTTGCTCAACAAATGAGAAAAACGAATTTTAGCAGCTTCAAACAATGTTACGATTTCTGTGCAAGAAAATACTTTCCAGAAAACAAAAAAAGTTCAAATTCATCTGAAAAGGAGCATACTTTCACAACAGCAAAAATAAAGTTGAATTGAAAAGAGAAAACATTTTCTCAGGTTTTTCCAAAATTAGACTTTTTCCTGACTGCTCAATGCCCAAGCTGGACAAAGACAACACAAAGTAAAATATTGTTAGGATTGAATAGTGTCCGGTATTTGATCCATTCTTCTCTTCTGCTCTCTTCTCCTGCTCATAAAATCATGGGAATTTGTGCAGGCCGAATTTCTTTATCGTTTAAGACTATGCTCTTTACAATCTTTAAGAACAATCAGCTTTAGATATTGAACTTACTGTGAGCCAATTTCAGGAAAAACAAGGTTTAAAAAATGGATTTTTCAGAATTTACACAAAACCACATTAGTTATAGTGAAAAGCGCTTTCCCTCCCTTGCCAGGGATGTCACAAACTCTTTTGTTCCGAAACTTCTTCACCAAAAAAAAAATAACCCACATTTTTTTGAGTAATAACAGCATTCAGCACATTATTATTTTGTCTGAAATTGGGCATTACTGTCTTCTGTAAAAAAAACGCTATAAAATTTACTTTCTAATCTTGGTTTTCTCAAAAATGTACAAAGAATAATCAATTTTTCGAACTGAATGTGCATGGGAGGTTGTAAGGAACACTAAATGAAATTATAACATAGTGGGTTGTTTACAAAAAGGGTCCTTTCACTCGTATTGGTCGACTTAGTGTGGAAAGAAGATAGAAGCATAGCTCCTCTGGTTCACTTGCAAGAGAGGCAAAAATTCAGAACAAGTGAAGAGCTCGATAAAAATTCAGCGCCTCACCCTTTGAAAAAGTTGAAAGCGTCATCAGGAGATCCTAAAAATGCGACTCGTCCCTCAGCCATCAACAAGATTTTGTCGAACATGGCGTAAACTTCTGAGGAGGGCTGATGAATTGTACAGATGATTGTTTTCCCTTTCAAAGCCATTGATTTCAGTACGGTTACTACGTTTTGAGCCATGAAAGAATCCAAGCCGGAAGTTGGTTCATCACAGAACATGACAGGAGGATTTGTTAATACCTGAAAATAAAATTTCATTGCTTCAAAATTGAAAAACGATTGAGAAATTTGAATGTGATGATGAGATTGCTAACTGGTAAAGTAATTAAGTAGCCAACAATTTTCAATTATAAAAAAAAAAAGTGTGTCCTCAAAAGAAGTGTTTAGAAACAACTTAACAGAATTACAAAGCAATTTTTCAGCTGAGCTTTGAATCTCTAGCAAAAAATTTTCTGAATACATTATACAAAAAGATAATAACTACATATTTGCTTGGCCTTGATGAGGGTTTGCTTTACAGCCACCAAAAGGTCAAATTGAAAAGCAAAACACATGCTTTCTTCTTCATCCTCTCTGATAAACATTTACTGTAAGGAAATTACACTATACCGACTTGACGTGAGTTTACCAGAAATGTAGGTTCCTTCTTAATGTCCCCAAAAGTGATTGAAAATTTCTACATTTGTTTCGGTTAGGTACAAAGTCGGGGACTGAAATTTCATTTTCATAAATCTACGATCAGCTTCAAAAACAATTAGGTTAATTCAAACCTGCTCATCGCAAGATCAGACCATCAGACACAAAATTCTCTTTTCCTAGAACTGCGGTCATAAGTTCTTCATATTATGTTCATACTACAGTTGCTCTCTATGTTTTTCTGCCCAACGACAAGAAAGCAGTTCACAAGCTTTTGCATTCTGAACAAGTCCGCAAGTTGAACTGGATAAACAAGAATTTTACATTACAAATTTCTCCCATGAGTAAGTCACTTTTAAGGTACTTACTGCAGTCAGAAGCAGATAAAAAATGGATGCCCAACAACATTCTTTTAGTTTTTTACGCGAATCTCTCAATATCATTTAATCTTCTTTACCTTTTAACGGGATTGAATTTTTGAAACAGTGAAAACATTCTTACCTCAGATGCAAAGGACAGCCTTTTCATTTCTCCTCCTGATATACCCTTTATTCTACCAGGAGTTCCTATCACAGTGTGCTGACATTTACTTAATGTTAACTGGAAAAAAAACAAAGCAAAGATAGTTAACCAAGAAATGAGAATGAAACTCGATGAACTCAGGTATTAAAACGTTCAAATTCTACCTTTCCAGCACAATAATTCAAAAACTCCACTCAGATTCTTTATAAGAACAAAATTTACTAACAAAAAAATAGAGGTATGCCTTGAATTGGAGTATACTTGCAATTAGGAACTACTATATGGCTCTATAAAAACACCTATCTGCTTGGGGAAACTAATGGGACATATGTTGTTTCTGAAATGAGCCTTAAATGGTGATTTTGTATTGCAAAATGTATTCCCATTCAATGTCAGTGTAAGTGCATGAAGTGCCTGCTTTGGTAGCTTTTGTGCCACTGATTGAGAATAAGCCAAAATAATAGTTTTGAGACACAAAAAAAAAAAAAAAAATCGATGGATTTCAGTAGATCTCATCCCAAAACTGGTTGATCTAGACAGCTAATATTTAGGAATCAAAATTTGTTGAAATGCTGAGCACCTCAAAATTATAATCACAGCACTTTACTAGAAAACAAGAAAAATAAGAAAACGTTCGAAAAACTAGCTCACCTCTTTTATGACCTCTTCCACACGGATCATTCTTTGAGAATAAGGAATTTGAGGATCCATTCGTACTAAAGCCTAGAACATAAAATGGTTCATTTTATTGGAAACAACATTAGGTACTTAAAAGCAAAATATTATCTGCAATACTTCTGCGCTAAGGAAGGAAGCCGTATGAGCCTTTGGAAGCTGCCAAGTTTTTCTCGATGTAACATGAACTTTCGGAAAAACCTGTGAATATTTATCGTCGACTTTCTCACAGAATTGTACTCGCAATTAGGCCCAAATCAGGGTAGCAAGCAGAATTTCATTTTATCATTTCCTGACTTTTCCCTGACTCCTTCTAATGGAATTCCCTAACTTTTTTACGATAACGTATGGGCACTCAATTAATGTGGCCAAAACGTTCGCACAACAATCCGATCAAATGCGCGCAAATATTCGGACCTCAGAGTTGGTATGTGATGTGGTATCACGCGGAAAGGAAGGAGAGTCTTAGCTTTTCACTTGTCATAGATAAATACGGGCGTTTGTGCATTTGGACATGATGCTCGATCGTTAAATGCGTGTTAAATTTAGGCCCTACATTCAAACAAGTCCGCAATTTGAGACGGGTGAAAAGCTAAGATTTTCCTTCATTTTCGCAAGATACCACATGAAATGCCTACTCCAGAGTCCGAATAGTCGCGCGCTCGATTTCCGCATTTAAGGTGATTCGACGGACGCCATTTTTTGTGTCAGAGCAACGTGCGATATATCGCATCGATTCGTTCTATAATTTCAGCTACTTGTCATTTTTTTCGAATTTTGAGATTTCACTTCTGTTGTCTTGAGACTAAAGAATTCAAATACTATATTTAACCAAGAAATTCAACGTAATAAAAGCAGGGTTTTTTTAGAAGAAAAATATCGCATTCGAGTGCGCTTTCGATATCCGTAACGAATGATATTTTTTCTCTAAAAAAAAACTCTGCTTTCAGTACGTTGAATTTCTTGGTCAAATTTGGTACATGAATTCTTTAGTCTCAAGACAACAGAAACGTGATCTCAAAATTCGAAAAAAATGACAAGGAGCTGAAATTATAGAACGAATCGATGCGATGTATCGCAAGTTGCTCGGAAAAAAATGGCATCTGTCGAATCACCTTATGGTTGTTTCTCTTTCGCAAGTTTCAAATTTCTTGTTTTTCCTGATTTTGCCCTGAGTGGACTGAGCAAACTTACGATAAAGGAACTATAAACTTATAGATCGGACCATCTTTTCAACAAATGTTTTCTCATGCTCTTCAATGTAAATTGCGCATTGTCACATTAGAATGTGTGTAAATAGTTCACGGAAAAAAATAGATTGCTGATTTAACAATTAAATTGTTGAAAAATAGGTGTCCGACATGTTTCAAACGTACATTTTACAATAGTAGAAAGCTAATTTAACCACCCCCAGGGCCGGATTAAGGGGTGGCCACATGGGCCGCGGCCCATGGCGGCAAAATTAGGGGGCGGCAAATTTTGCAATTTTTTTAAATGCAGGTACAAAAAAAAATCGGATTCAGAATAAAATTACAAACAAGAAAAGGTGACAAAATCTCTCATTTTTTGAGAGCTCATTAATTTTTAATTTTGTCGTATCTCGGTGATACAAAAGACTACGCACCTTTAATTAGTCGAGTTTAAGAGAGAAACCAAACACCTAATTATTTGGCCTGGAGCGGCGCGGCGCAGAGTGAAATGATGACGAGGACTTGAGATGAAAAGGAGAAGCCCTCAGCGCGGCGATCGGCATGTAACACATATTAGCGTCTACGAGACTGCATGAATACTTCACGCATTGCGTCAAACACAGTACGGTCAAGAGCGGTCGGCGCGGCGTGAAACGCACAGTGCCTACAAGACTACATGAATACTTCACGCATTGCGCCAAACACAGTGTGATCACTTGATCAGCGCGGCACGGCGCGCGGCGGAAGATAAAATTATTAAACCACATTTATGTTTGTTCTTTCTTAATTTTTTAGTTCATTTCCTACAAATGAAAGGCCTTGTCTACACAGAGATAGGTTTACGGAACTGAACTTTCGCGCGAAGTTCCATGAACTTTTGCTAGTAGTGTTGACAGGGCTTACGTAAAAAATGTGTCCAACACGAGTGAACGCGTCTTATGCACCCTTCTTCCTCCGGCACGTTCACTTGATGGTTTTTATAAATATTTCAGAATGAATTAGAGAAGGGCGGCAAAACACAGGCGACCCATGGGCGGCACGTAGGTAAATCCGGCCATGACCACCCCAGTGGTTATTTTTTTATTTAATTATATTTCATTTTTTTATTGTAAAATCTACATTGAAACATGTCGGACAATTTTTTTCAACTAAAAAATTGTTCAACAGGCAATTTCATTTTTTCCATGATTGACAGTGAGAAATTTTTGTTGAAGGGAACAAACTATTTTTATCTTAACATTCTGATCTAATGATGCTGTTCATCCAAAAAGGACTATCTATCTAGGAATATTAGACTTTTCCGAATAGTAGATTCGAAAAATTTAAAGATACTAGAAACATACTGGGGAAAGAGTGTTGCCAACTCGCAAAATCGCCACAGGCACTACAGCACATGTTTTCTCATCAACATTTAGCACAGAACACATTGGAAGTATCGAAAACTTTAAAGGTAGTGTGCTAAGCTACTCTGCCGTGCAACGGAAAAACGCCTTGTGAGCAGTCGAGAGTTGCCGGATTTCCCTTGATAAAACAAGTATTTTTGACGACGTTCATGCATATTTTCCCTTGAAATTTTCAGATATTTTAGATTAAACTGCGTGCGAAATTGTCTGAAAATTTTGAGGGAAAACAAATTCACAATTTTTTCGGTGAATTTGGTTTTTCTCAAGGAAATTTGGCAACTTTCGAATGTTCATACGACGTTTCTCCTTGGCACGGCAGTATTTGAGTGCAAATGAATAAAACTTACCTGAAATACTAAATGCTCCCTAACGGTTAAGGTTCCTATAAATAGATCATCTTGCTGTACATAGGCAGAGAGAGAAGACAAGGTTGTAGAGTTTATTGGGATTCCATTGACTGCTCGCTGGCCGCTGACAATGTTTCCATTATTCCTAAATGTTAGAGTGTTGAGCAGTGTTGTCTTTCCTGCACCACTGGAGCCCATTATCGCTAACAGCTCACCTGGGTATGCTATCCCAGTTACTGGAAAAACAAACACAAGCCATTAGCAACAGAACAATACAAAAAACAAAAAAACTGATGACAAAACTGCCGTGCCAAGGAAGAATGCCGCACAGTGGATCGAGTCGATAGGAGAGGTCGGACAAAATGTGGACACTTTAAACGCTCATAACACCGTTTAAACAAGACTGTGAGGTTCTAAAAGTGATTCCATTCGTTTTTCCGTGAAATTTTCTTCACGAACCACCTCTTAAAGTTTAGCATGTGACGAAAGAATAAACATGGAAAGCAGTTTTAGTCAAAAATTTCAATTCCGACTTCTCTAATTGACTCGATCCACTGTAGGCCGTATGAGCATTCAATCGTTGCCATATTTCTTTCCATAAAAGACGAGTTTACTTTGAAAATTCGACATATTTTTCAGACAACTATGTACGCAATTTAATCTACTATACCTGAAAATTTCAGGAAAAAATATGCATGCCTTTTTTTTCAAAAATACATGATTTATTCGGGGAAAATTGGCAACTCTCGTACGTTCACACGACGTTCTTCCTTAACACGGCAGAAAATTCATTGGGTAGGTCCTGGGGTTGGGTTGATTGGGTCGTTGGATTTATAAAAAAATATTCCGAAAAGTTCCGAGGAACACAGTACCTACAGTGTCACTGAATTTACCTAAAATCAAACCCAAAAATCACGACATAACGTTCCAAAAACGGCATTATAAGTTTTGCTTGTCAATTATGCCAAGAGGTGACACAGTCTGGCTCGAGGAACGAAACTCCTGTTGACTGGCGGAAGTATAAACGGAGGACTAAGTGCTCCTTCAATCCGTCAGTTATGCAATTTAAGTTACCGGATGGTGAAAATAGTCGAATCCCATCTGATTCTGTTAGCAAGGCGCCACTTTTACTGCAGAGTATTTCCTTAGATCTGCACAGGCAAACGGTAAAGCAATCGTGCACGATGTTAATGGAATCGACGTATGCGAAAACGTCCGATGTCTGAGACAGTGTTTCAGAATTTGAGTGGACAATTTCGTTGTAACTTACTGACACAAGATGGTTTAAGACGTTAGGAATGTAGAACAATTTTATATAAATAATCCCGTAAGTGTAATTAAACTTTTACAAAAGAAATCGATCCTATTCATCAGTGTCGTGGGAGTAGGACAAAAGAAACCCACCGCAATGGACCACTAGACAAGGTACGAATTTAAGCATTCTGATTCATGTTTCTTAACCAAAATTTCATGTAGAACATGATTCGTGCAACGAAAATTACTGGAACCAACTCCTAATGGAGATATTAACATTTTTATTTCACATTGGTTACGAGGAATTTGAACTGCCCGCTCACAAGATACTCAAAGCTCTACGCGAGTCAAATCGCGCACAACAGCGGTTTCAGCAAGCTTCTCAATCGAGCAATGTTCATTTCCCACCATATGTTTTTCAAACTATAAGTAATTTGCTATAGCTGAGCCAAAGCGTCAAGATTGAGGTTGCCAGATTTTTTTTACCGCCGAGACGTTCATGATAACGTTTAGCGCGCGATATGTGAATCACGTAGAGCATTGCGTTTTCATGAGTGGGTGGTTTGAATTCACGCACCAAGAATCATTAAATATCTTCGGAAGGAGTTGATTTCGATAATTTTCGCTGTGCTCATCGCTGTGCTTCCGTGAAATTTTGATGAAGAAACATGTGTCAGAATGCTGAAATTCGTACCTTGTCTAGTGGTCCATTTTGAAACCCTGTATTGGACAACGGACGTTTGTGCATACGTCGATTCAATTACCTATGTATCAAATAATGGCTCAACATTTCGTTGGATTGGCACTGGGGTTAGCCAAAATGGTATAGGAATGAATCGATTCTCGGAGTGGCCAGTTGCTCCGACAACAATCAATTATTCAACACAGGTTTAAATGAAGAGAAAACATGTTATCAAATTACTGGATCCGCCAACATCAAGGAAAATCCCTTAAACTTAAGCTTGTTAGCCAGGATGGCTCCTAAGGACCTTGAAGCAAGAAAACTGATAACTACAGAAAAATCTTCACGAATTCTTACACTCATCACGCATCTTGGGAAGTTTTGGGTTGGTGACAATGGTTTAGCCCTAAAAAAAAAAAAAAATCGGATGTTTTGCAACGCAGGGGTGCAGAATCTTCCAAGCTCCCACATTCTCACACACTCGCCAGCCGGTTTTCCACAAAATGTCCCACCTATCGAAAAAGATGACCATCTCCTCCTGTTTCCTTTTACTTTCGACTTATTACCCTTTCAAATTTTCCCTCCTTTTTGGGGGCTCTTCCAAATTTTCACGTGCCCGCCCGGGTGCATTTTCTAAACTCCTGTTGCAACGTTCCGTCGAGGTACACAATTTTTATATTTTTTTTATTTACGTTGGAAATGCGATTTTTGAGTGTTGGTACAAAAATTATGATTTTATAGCATTATAAAATAAAAATATAGATAATAATATCGATGAGACCAAAGACTTAGATCAGGTGCGACTTGCAAGGTAGACAGACTCTCTCGGCTGGGTGGTGAATTAAACTAGCTGGAAATAACTTAATTAACGATTAGAAAAGTTGCTGGATAACCGGTTCTAATTGGTAAACGGCCGTCCTCCAATAACAAGGTATGTCATCGCCGTTGCCTTAGGACCCTCACCTGACCCCCAGACATGGATACAGGTGAGAAAATAGGACCGTAATAGTTTCAATGAAACAGTCTCTTTCATTCTCAAATATGCTATTCATCCTTTTAGAACATAGAGTACATAGAGTCGTGATGTAAGTGGGAGAGCTGGCGCCATGTTCTGCTTGACGAGTTCCGAGCCCGGTGTGCGCCGAGTTCGGGTCACTTTTTCGATACATGTTCGATCCAAAATGACGGTGTGGAATACGTGGTGATCCCCATCTTGTTTGTTTACATCGGATGGCCGGGTACCCGTGTATCGCAAACAATCGATCATGTATCGAAAAAGTGACCCGGCGTCACACAGGAGTCTCGGAATTCGGGACCTGGAAAATGCTTAAAAGTGGCGCCAGCTCACCCACTTACATTACGACTCTATGTACTCTAGGTATGTTTTAGAACGACTCATGATACAGTGCGTACACAGATATGATTCTTGAACGCCGAGAGCTTTCAGTTCCAATCAGACAAAAGCAACCTCAGACGCCGCCATAAGAATTTAACGAATAGAGCTTTGTATACCACAGGGATTTGTGCTTTCAAAACTTTCGGTACCGTATTTAGCGAGAAGCACAGAGATCTGGTTTTCCCGGAAAAAGTTCCAAAAAAGTGTACCCGCGACGGGGCGGATATTTTTGGACGTTATCTCAATCGGCTTTCTCGAGGATGTGATGCGCATGTACCTAAATGGAGGCTTGATATGCGCCAAGTTGAACTTGTTTTTCAGGGGTCAATGTCGTTCAGAGAAAATCTGGAAAATTCCTGTTGACTTCGTCTCTACTTTTCGAAAATTCCAGAATTAAAAAAAACAACACTGAACGAGCTTATCAGGTGGAACTGCAATCTCAATCGGTATCGTTTTCTTGAAAGCACTGGATGAAACTACACTAGTGTTTATTTTTAGGCCTGGACAGGGGTATACTGAAAAACAAACTCCGGCCGTGAAAGCCGTGCTTACGGGTTATATGTATGCGTTCCGGGCTCAGAGGCCGAAAGTTCCGGGTGCATCACCCGGAGCAATCGAAGCTACGGCTCCAGCACCCGGAACTTTCGGCCTCTGAGCCCGGAACGGTCGGTATGTCTACATAGCCCATAACTTTTTTTCGGTGAATGAATGCCCAATAGATATCAGAAAATGAGAAGAAAATCTTGGACTGCGAGGTAACTTTTAAAAGAGTCGTTAAAACCAATTAAATAAATAAAAACAAATCACTGGTTGACACGTTGGAATAGAGAGTCAAATCAAACAATTTGCCCTAAAATCGGACAGTTTGCCATGCAATTGGACATTCTGTCATAAAATTGGAAACTTTGTCAAAAAACCCAACATTCTGTCATAAAACCCGAAATTTTGTCATAAAACCTGACATTATTCGATGTGGCAAATCGGAAATCTGGCCGTAAAGCAAAAACGCCAGCTTGCAGCAAACGTCGACGTTTTTGAGCTTTCTGCAGCACCCGGAACTTTCGGCCTCTGAGCCCGGAACGGTCGGTATGTCTGCATAGCCCATAACTTTTTTTCGGCGAATGAATGCCCAATGGATATCAGAAAACGATAAGTAAATCTTGGACTGTGAGGAAACTTTTAAAAGAGTCGTGAAAATAAATAAATAAATCACTGGTTGACATGTTGGAATAGAGAGTCAAATCAAACAATTTGCCCTGAAATCGGACAGTTTGCCATGCAATTGGACATTCTGTCATAAAATTGGAAACTTTGTCAAAAAACCCGACATTCTGTCATAAAACCCGACATTATTCGATGTGGCAAATCGGAAATCTGGCCGTAAAGCAAAAACGCAAGCGTGCAGCAAACGTCGGCGTTTTTGAGCTTTCTGCGCTCCAGGGTCCCCAAAGAAAACAGCTAAGAAAACGAAACAAAGATACAAAAAAAAAGAAGGGAGAGAGGCCAATGTTTATCAGAGACGACGAAATTTAAAACCATCCGCAAGTCAACGAGGCCACGAAGGAGACGCAGGACCTTTGGCTATAGTGGCTCGTTGGTCAGTTACGCAAACTGCTAAACCGCAGGGGGTCGTTCTACATGATGTTTACTTGTAGGGATTTGGTCCTAGCGATACTTCTGTAAGCAATCGGGCTGAAGAGGGGATACCTTTGTACCGTTATGGCTTTACCTAACCACGGGGACGGTTAAATGGAGATGTTGCATGTGTGAGGACTTTGCGATTTTACTATTGATCCTTATGTAAAAGTTCTCGAGAAAGACGATGGTGCCACTGGTTTTCTTTGAAATCAACTCCCAAGCTCGAAAAAAGCTCTCAAGTTGAGGCCAAAATGAAAGGGATATCCCACGCTATCCTGAGAGTCCACCTTGACAACAAGACAAACTCTCCATGCGAAGATAGGGAGCAAATACAACAGCAGGGTTGCCGTGTTTTCAGTTTTAGAGTTCCCAAATAAAGTGGCAGCTCTGTCAATGTATTTGCTCCCTATCTTTGCATGGAGAGTTTGTCTTGACGTAGACGTGGACTCTCAGGGTGGGGTGGGATATCCCCTCCATTTTGGCCTCAACTAAAGAGCTTTTTTTGAGCTTGGGAGTTAATTTCAGAGAAAACCAGCGGTACCATCGTGTTTCTCGCAAATTTTTACATATGAATCAATAGTATGGTCAAATCGCAAATTCCTCACATGTGCAACATCTAAATATTATTTAGTTTGATATAAAACACTATATACTTTACTTTCGGTTTGCAGGCGTTTTCGCGTCACTACAATCTACCCACATGAAAACATCTGGCTCTCTCAGAAGCAGGAAAACAAGCTTAGATAAGTTTTTAAATACTTTCAAACCTTGTAACACTTTAATTTTTAGCCAAACAGAAATCACAACCACAAGAAAGTCGCAAATCATAACTGATAGGTAGTTTTTTTACGATACGATCATGAGACTGATGTCTTCAATGTGGATAGTAGCGAACGCCGCTTTGAACGGAGGCCCAAATTCGTCGTTGGCGCTTGCAAACCGAAAGTAAACAACCGTCAACTTAGCTGACGACACCTCTAAAGTTTTAGGTCACTCACCGTTTTTGAGAATGTGTTTACGCTGATGACTTCTAGCACTAGGATTCTTTTTACAGAACAGGGACTTGATTCCGCCCCAGATTTTGGTGTGCCTTTGGTCCTGTCCGGAGGCGAAGACGTTGATGCCGGACCACGTGTAGGTTATGTTTTCCTCCGGGAATTTGGCGCGGACGCCGTTCGAGGGGGGTTTTTTGGGCGGACCGCCCCCTCCCCCCGCCCCACCGCCCTGTTTCACGGGGTCCAACGTGAGGACGCATTGGTCTGTGGGTGCGCTGTTGTCCTGTCAATCAAACAGAAAAAGGAATATTAGGAAAATTATTAATTCGGCATTCGATGTGGGGCTTGGAGGACAAGGCGCATGAGAGTAGTTTTTGCTAGAGTACCTGTATAGCGAGAGTATGGACAGATCGTTTCATCCATAGAGTACATAGAGTCGTAATGTAAGTGGGAGAGCTGGCGCCACTTTTAAGCATTTTCCATGTCCCGAATGGACCACTAGACAAGGTACGAATTTCAGCATTCTGATACATGTTTCTCAATCAAAATTTCACGTAGAACACGATACGCACAACTAAAATTGCCAAAATCAACTCCTGACGAAGATATTTAATGATTCTTGATGCGTGAATTCAAACCACCCGCTCATGAAAACTCAATGCTCTACGTGATTCACATCGCGCGCTAAATGTTTATCATGACAGTCTCTGCGATGTAAAAATCTTCAACTTCAATCTTGACACTTTGGCTCAGCTATAGCAAATTACCAATAGTTTGAACAACACATGGTGGAAAATGAACATTGCTCGATTGAGAAGCTTGCTGAAACCGTTGTAGTGCGCGATTTGACTCACGTAGAGCTTCGAGTTTCTTGTGAGCGGGTAGTTCAAATTCCTCGTAATCAGTGCGAAATAAAAACGTTAATATCTTCGTTAGAAGTTGATTTCGGTAATTTTTATAGTGTGAATCGTGTTCTACGTGAAATTCTGGTTAAGAAACATGTATCAGATTGCTTAAATTCGTACCTTGTCTAGTGGTCCATTCCGAGACTCCTGTGTGACGCCGGGTCACTTTTTCGATACATAATCGATTGTTTGCGATACACGGGTACCCGGCCGCATATCCGATGACGACAACAACAACAACAAAGGAGATAGGAATTACCACGTATTCCACACCGCCATTTTGGATCGAAAATGTATCGAAAAAGCGACCCGAACTCGGCGCACACCGGGCTCGGAATTCGTCGAGCAGAACATGGCGCCAGCTCTCCCATTTACATTACGACTCTATGTACTCTATGGTTTCATGGAGGGCTTAGGGCCCAGAAGTGCAGCCACCCTTCTAACCAACTTCTAACGCACAAAATTTCACTGCCAGTCTGCGGATTCCAATTCTAACGAAGATGGCTAAGAAAGTTCATAAATGAGCGTTCTTCCACAAAAATGAGTAAATTTATGCAAAAACTAAGTCAAATACGTGCTTTATAAACGATGGTTCGTAACAATTGTATTAATAAATCGCTCTGGATGATTGAAATTCATAGGTTGGCAGCATTTCTGGGCCCCAACTTTATTCGCAGAGGCATCGGTGAAGGCCTGATGGATTTTCGGAGTTTCACATCCGTCTATACTCTCGCTATACAGGTACTCTAGTTTTTGCTTTTTCGAGAAATACGTTTTTGAAGTTTCGAAATTACATGGATCCTTATGGCCGAAAGAAAGTTCAAACCTACTTTTGGATGCTTAAAAATTGGAATTTGGGAGCAAATTTTTCACGAAATTTGCGTCAAGACTAGTTTTACTTGAAATCATTAATATCTCAATTTTTTTCAAAAACTATACTTATGCGCCTTATCCTCCAAGCCTCTCAAATAGAATACTGTGAAAACAAGACCAAAACCCTTACATGACAATGTTCTAAAATTGGACCGCGTTCAGCAGAGAGGAACTGAGCCACATCATCTACTGCCAAATTTAACAGGGCGATTTAATTTTTAATTTGTGCGGATTTCTTTGAAAATGTTAAGGAATTTGCTTCGCACTGTGAAGAAAATTCACTGAAATTTGCACAAAAATCCGCACAACCGTTTTCATGTAAAAAATTAAATTGCCCGATTAAATCTGGCGATTACCGTTGCTTGATTTTTATTTCTGCTTAACGCGGTCCAATTAACAATTTAAAAAATTAAAATAAAAGAAATGCGCCACTTGACACTCTAGAATTTGAAATATTGTCATCTTCCCTCACCCCCAGAAGCACTCGACAAACGAAAATAGTGGAAAAACCAGTCGCACTTATTCGCATAGTACGGTATACAGGGTGTGCTAAAAGAGAGTAAACACCAGGAATATCTTTTGGGGGAATTCGAAAATCGAAAAACGCCGAAACACCCAGCGGAGCCAAAAAATACAAACGTGCGGGGAAGATGTCTCCCTTAATAATATTGAACACAAGTTTTGTGATTTTTCGATATTCGAATTCGTTCAAAGGATATGCAAGAAGGATACTTTCTTTTGGCACATCCTGTAAAAATGTTAAGAGATGTTTTTCGATAATTATTGATGACGTTGAAGCTCAAGTTACGGATAAATGCGTCAAAATAACGTCAAAATGTATCGAATAGAGGCAACTTCTTAAAGTTTTCAAGGGGAGATCTGACTGACCTTCCCTCGTAAATCCTCTTCTGTACTAGAAAGACCCACTGGGTTTCAGACCCAGGTACCAAACCCCCGATATTTGCTATGGCAACGTCCATGCAACTACCTTTCCTTTTCCGAAACAAAAACCGAGGCTGCTAAGAAGTATTCTTTTTTATTTTATTTTATTTAATTATTATATTATTTTATTTAATTTAAATTAATTTATTCATTTTTTTTAACATTCACTATTTATGAACAAACAAACAAAAAATAGCTCAATGACGAATAACGGAGGTCTGGGATTTAACATTATCTTGGAAGCGAGATTAGGCGATGGCAGTAAAATATTAGAATCGACATGACATTACGGTCAATTAAAATCGCTAACATTCCAGCCCGGACCAAGACCTTGTTTCGAACGTAAATGATTACGGAAAGGCTGGAGATGAATTTCAGGATGCCAGATTTATAGAGGATTTGCTGGTTCTGCAATGAAATCATAGGTTATTATTGGGACCTATCGGCACAGAACCGCGAAAGTGAATAACGAGTTAGGTTGTTCTTCACCACTAGCGTACGATGCTAAGGAAAAACGTCGTATGGATTATCGGAAATCGACGAATCTCCTCCTATGACTAGGAGACTTCCTTTAAAATTTTCGAATATTATTCTCTTAAATTTTCAGAGAATTTGATTCACAACGTAATTTAATGTATCTGAAAAGAACTTCATGCAAAAACGGCTTTTTTCGCCCCCCCCCCCCAGAATTTTTCGAGCTTTGTCTATTGATTTCTCATACTTGAGCGCTTCTTTTCCCAAATTTTTAGATCCCCAAAAAGTTTTGGGGGCGTTAGGAGGAGGGGGGAGGGGGGGAGAAGTCAAAACCTGTGAGCCTCGATATCTCTCGAACGAAGAAAGATATCGAGGTTCGGTTTGGACGAAAAATCGTCGAAGTTTGAAGAAATCCCCAAGGGGGGGGGCGAAAAAAGCCGTTTTTGCATCACGTTCTTCGGACGTGCATTCCCCAACTTTTCTTAAAAATAAATACTTCTTTGGCGAGAAATTTGGCAATACTTGAGAGTTCATACGGCGTTTCCCCATAGTGCGGCGAAACAGTTCAGCTCAAGCATGAAAACAAAACCAAAATAATAATAATGAATGCGTAAATAACATGGAACATGTATTTTTAGCACCATTTCCTCCTCTCGGAAAAAATTAAAGCCGTTTAGATCTGCATCTCGGGGGTTTTATTCGCGAAAGGGCGTCTCTGGTATGTATCGCGGCTTCGATTGTTTATTTTTGCATACGTTTTTATAGCAGGACAACGACACGCATATCCGAAACCTTTATTGCTCAGAAAAATGAGCAAAAATGCTAGAGACTGTTTTCAGAGGAAAAATAAGACTATGCGTACATTCTTTCCGAATCATATCTCTGATTTTTTTATGGTTAAAAGCGCGTGCGTAAAAGCTGGAGAGTTTAAGAGGGCCAGCGGGTTGATTATCGAAACTGATAAACAAAGCTGTAGACAGAGAAGACTTAGGGCAAATGAAGTGATCCTATTGGTGGAAGTGGGTGGTTGCAATGGACAAAGGAGGTAAGTAATAGACTAACTAAAGGCAATCGACAAGAGATCCTACAGTATTGGTCCATCACTTTCCCCCTTAGTCTATAAGAACCACCTGTTTCAACCAATAGGATCGCTCCATGTGCTATTTGTACTATTTTTCTATAGCTTTGTCTAAAAATGTCAATAATCAGCCCCCTGGGAGTTAATATTGAAACAATAATATAATTCGCCCTGTGTAGCTTGGCATCAAAGAAAAACCTGTTGTTTTTCACGCTATTAATTAATTCCAGGGGCAAATATGTATACTGACTGATGGTTTATTTACACCTAGTGAGTACAGAGTGTTCAAAAGTTTATCGAATTCAGTCGTAAAAAGTTTTACATGAATTTTAGAAAAAATATTCTAAAAAATTCATAAGTCAGAATTGCAATCTCCCCGGCTCTTTAAGAAAGTGATGTATTAACAGATTTTAGCAAGGAATTTTTCAAACTAAATCCTTTGATATTGAATAACTGCAGCGACTGCAGCGTTCGAGCGTTTAAAGCGTAGAAGCTGCTTCGTGTGAAAAATCTCAAGATGTACAACAAAAAGTACCGTAAGGAGAGAATTTTCTAGTTCTTCATGTAATTCTAAGACTTACTTGTTTCAGTCATAAAATCGCAAACAGGAATCGATTTATACGTTGATTACACAGTTTGAAAAGAAAAATCATAGCTGCAGTAAGTAGCATTTAGGGTTTGACGGGAAAAATTCCTATACTATTGATCTTGCCATAAATCATTGGCAGAATGTACTTATCAAAAACATTTTTAAGCCATTGAAAACCATCGACTTCAACAAAAGCGGATTCAGCAATTTGGCAAAACCAAACTTCCATTTAAACCTATGTTAAATAATCGATTCTCGTCAGAGCACCAAACCCCTCCAAGAATCGATACATTTCCGTAGGTTTAAATGGAGGGAAAACGATGTTGCCAATTCGCTGGATCCGCTGATGGGCTTCAATAAAATTCTTCCCCTGCTCTCAGAGTTGAGACATTTTCTAACAATTTAAGTGAAGGATTCATTTA